TAAGCCCCCTCCCACCACCTGAACCCCCTACATTTTCTGATGTATCCTTTACTGTAATTAATTACGTGTCCAGTGGGCTCATTTCTTTCATACTCTTACTGCCAATCTGTTAGATAAAGGGAAAAAAAATGCTTTAGTGCCCTGTGGTATTGAAAGTGAAGGGTTTTCACACTGTCAGGGTAATGAATTCTGCACGGGTTTGAAGCACCTGAGCTTGGGGAAGTCCTTGTGTCATGTTTCTGGGAGTGACAACCCCCAGTGGTTAATTACTGCCATGGATGAGAGCTGAGCTGATAGCAAAATGAGATAATTTCATTACTAGTTTAATTTGAAGTTAATTGGATTCACGTTTACACAGAGTAGTGTACAAAGACACACTTGGAAATGCTCTTTGCCACCTTTTTATTTTTTTTTTAAGGTAGATAAACTGAGGAATACTTCTAAACTGCTCCCACTTTTTTTTTTTCACTGCAGTTTGGAGACAGCAGAGTCCTTTGCTGTCACAGGCAGCTCTCTGTTCCAGCCAGCTTGTCCTGCAATGGGAACATTTGCTGATGCTCAAGCACTGCTTGCCACATCTGCTCAGGGGGTGATGCTAAGCTCTTCTGCAGCTAGTGGCAAAATTTCACTTATGGAAGAAAATTACTTATTTGCACTTTCTTTACTAAATGATAGTTTGCTCTCATTGTGAGTGCTGCCAGTTCCTGGTGAATGGAGGGATGGACATTTGTTGACTATCTTCTGTTTACAGAACCAAGTCCATTGACATGTGACATGACATCCAGTCCCCTAGACTGTTGATATTGTTATTATTCAGTATTGTCATATTCTGGTTTTTGGAGTAATGTGGGATGAATTCTGGCAAGGACATGCCTAAGGCTGGAAATGATGTGCAACTTGTTGGCCTTGTGCAGTGAGCCCATGGTGGCCTGTGTATGTGCAGGAGTGTTTGTAGCAGAGGCATTTACTCCACTGCCCCCAGCAGTAATCCGTCGCTGCTGTTCTCCCTAAGACATTTTCCCTCTGGGGGAGAATGAGAGATGGGTCAGCACTGCCTTGCTGATGAGCCCATTGGAGGTGCTCACCAGTGATGCGAAAGAGCTTGATGAGGTGGTCTGGAAGAGGCGGCAGGGTGAAGGAGGTGGCAGGGTCCAGGCTGCATGAGCACCAGAGCTGCTGTGTGCTCTCTCTATCGTGGAGGTGTGCCAGTCTCAGGTCAGCAGGTACCACTGAAGGTACTGGTACTGCTGGGGCTACCAGCTTCTCAATGGGGAGGCCACTCCGGGCAAGACTCAGCAAGATATTTTGGTAGTTGGTGCTTAATAGTGTTGTCAGAGGCTGTTGGAAAGAGGTTGGTGCTTATCTTGGAAAATCCTGTTCTCTGCTCCATTTGAGCCTCTCTGTAGGCTGGACCTGCCATCTGATTTGCTCTGTCCTGCACAACACCAGCCCAGTGAGGCAAGGGGGCAACTCTGCCCCATCTCCAACTTTAGGCATCCAAAATAACCTCCAAAAAGTTTAGAATAAAAACATTTAGGAGCAAGATGTGTCTTGAAGGACCTTGCTCTCTATGTCTGTGTGCCCCACTGGTAACATGTAGGTGTTCCGTTCCTCTTGGCTGTTTTGCCTGAATGGATAGGGCAGGAACAGAACACCTTGGGGCAGAGACTACTTCTTACTCTCTCTTTGTGCCTGGTGGATTAGTGTTTTTCTCTTAAATCAATTATTTCAGTGCAATTGAAGCTTGACAATATTGGGGAAAAATCTCATAGAATGACAGATGAGTTGGAAGGGAGTTGGATGAGTTGGATGAGTTGGAAGGGAGCCACAAGGATCATAGAGTCCGACCCTTAACCTTGTGCAGGACCATCCCCAAGAGTCACACCATGTGCCTGAGACTACTGTCCAAATGAATCTTGAACTCTGTCAGGCTTGGTGCTGTGACCACTTCAATGTTCCAGTACCCAACCACGCTCTGGGTGAAAAATCAGAGGGTGTTGGGTACTGGAATAGATGGGATGTTCCGACCTTTTTTTTGGGAGGGGGGGGTACGTTGGATGCAATAGACAGGACGAGGTGGGATTGAGCACTTGCACCTATGCCATTGGTCACGTTTGACCAGCCCCCCAAGGCGCTGCCTGAGCCCTGGCTGTGGGGAAAGATTTGTCGGCTGATGACAGAACATTTAATTTGGAAATGGGATGTAGTGGAAACCAGCCAAACCTGTGGAATACACTATAAGTGGTGTTTCCTTGATTCATGAAAGACCAGAGGTCTTGCTCTTCATGCTGTCACCAACTGCGGTTGTATTGCTCGGTGCCCTTGACAATGATGCTAACTGTGCTGATTGTGACAGTGGCTTTGGAGAAAGTGGAAAATTTGTAGTATTTCAAAATATTGAAATAAATTGCAAGTTTTTCTTAATAGCTGTTGGAAAGTGAGGAGTGGGGAGTAGTCAGTGTGGAGCAGTTCCGGAAGGAGAGCTCACTCACAGGCCAAGGCACCTTTGGGACAAGAGGCGTCGTGCCATTGTGCAGCAACACCACACTGCTGAGGAAGGGAAGAGCCACGGTGTCACTCCTGAGTCTATGGAGGGCTCCTGGATGGCAGCAGTCAGGCTGTGAGGTGTTTGTCTGCATTAGGGACAGTTCTTAACTGAGTCCCTGCCAGCACTGGGTCTGAATTTACCTTCTGTGACTTAATTTAAGTAGATAGCAAATACCTTTGTCTTCTCCAGGCTGCAGAGATGACACAATCAGAATTTAATTTTATGTTGGAGAGAAGGAAGCAGGGCAGTGATGAGGGGAGAACATTTTAATCTGAAAGAGCCATTTTCTCCCTGCATTGAATAATTAGAATTCATGATGCCATTCCATGAGGGATCTGACTTCTCCCTAGAACTGGAGAGCAAATTAATAAATTGTTTTGAAACTTAAATTCTTTCAGAATGTGAATGCACCATAAATATTCTGTAGGAAGGGCCTGAGAGAAACAGTGTGCATCCCAATTTGTGGATGCAGAGTGCTTAGTAAAGTGGGGCATGTGCTGAGAGATCACTGCAGCGATGCTAGAGTTTTGGCACAGACCCCTTTATCAGAGGGCAGGGGGGAAGTGGCCTTCATGGACATGGCCCAGGGATTGTAAGCTGCAATTTGCAATAACTCACGTACTTTTCTCTTATCAAAGGACGTCTCATTTCTTAGAAAGATATAGGAAAAAAAGAAAGATCAGCTCAAAATGAAATTGTGCCTCAAAATCACTGCCAATCTAAAAAGTTTAAAAAAAAAGGTTTTGGCTTTTGGGAAAACATTCAGTTTCAACCTCTTCAAGCTCTACAGACTTGAAAAAAGTTCACTGACATAAAAACAAGTGCCTGCAGAAAGCAGTGTGAAAACCAGAATCTGTGCATTTCTTCTTGTCAGTGGTGGTAAAATCAACAAAACCACATTACTTTTCTTCCTGATCCAACATGCTACATTTTGATGAAGGAACCTGCACTCCCTGTGATTTTTGCCCAGCTTATGGGCTGTTTTCAGCCACCAGGATCTTGGAGCTAGGTGGAACCAGAGTGGTTCCTGACCTGTAGAGGCTGAAACAGCAGGGGCTCATCCTTTGGGCCAAGAGCTGTCTGCATGCAGGGTCCCTTGCCTGAGATGCACGCTCAGATTTTCAGAGCTCAGCACCCATGCAGTGTCTCTGCTCCTGAACTATGGTTTGGCTGTGAGGGTCGTCTCATTCCCCTCATCCTTGGAGGAGCCACTCGGCAATCCTGGAGGCCCTGGAAGTGCGGGGGTGGTGGACTGATGGGACAGGTCCCCATACGAGAGCGACGCCCTGAGCAACTTGTGTGATACTCACACTGGGAAGGGATTGCAGGGCCTGCGTCCAACTGCTGGCCCAGCTGTGATGCTGCAGGTTTAATGCTACCAGGCACCTGAGTGTGTCTTGAAGGCCACTAATCTCTGGGTAAGTGGTCTGCCCAAGGATGCTGTGGGAGTCCAGAAGACCATGAGTGAGCTCCAGGAGTCCCTCTGGGACAAGGGATGGATCCTACCTGGTGAGATCACGGAGTATCAATTTCTAATGGAGGGTCACTTTTGGCTACTGCCGTTGCCAGTTTCCCTGAAATTCCACTGTAGCAGCCTGAAGAGATGGTGACTATCCAGTGACTGTCATATGGGACCAGGATCCAGGCAGGATTGAGGCGTCACTTCTGAGGTGCTGCGCGAGCCACACTGTCTGACCTCCTGTGTTTATTCTGCCCGCAGTGCCATGTCCCGTGAGGTGCTGGGAGCTGTTTCTGGGAGGGCAGGAAGGAAGACAGGTCCAGGGGCAGAGGGAGATGGAGAACACCTCCACTGCTTGCTTTTGTGGGGTTATTTCTATGGAAGACCTGTGGGTACTTGATTTAAAAAATCATGTTTCTGCAGCTTAAGGAAAGAGCATTGCATAAGACTGTGTTTGGGAATCTGACGACTCTTCTGGCACCACAGCAAGCTGTATTTTAAACCACTTTCCTGTCTTAAGGTCTTGTGTTTGTCCTTTTTTGTTTTTTTTAACTGCTTTAATGAGTGGCATCCTCCATTGTATTTAGATAGCAAACATCCTTAGCCTGTGCACTGTGATTTTCTAGAGAGTTTTCTGAGAAAGTGTCTTTAAGATCAGTGTTATTTGCCATTTCACAGTTTCTGACTTTACAAATCTAAGCTTTGGAGGAATTTGGGAATAGGGCCAAGCAGCCAGAGTTCAATCGGGTGCATTAGTCTCCCTGCAGAGCTCTGCTCTTCCCCTTCCCGTCTCTCACTTCATTGGAGCTTTGTGGCAGCTTATAGAGAAAACAAAACTGTGCCTGCCCTCCCTGCCAGCCTGGAAATCCCATGCTGGTCCTCACAGAGTCGTGATGACAAATGCATGGCTGTGTTCTGGGTGCTTGGGGAGATGTAAAACCATGTCCGCTTGCCGCAATGCTCACGTGGTGATTTGTTGGTTTGATTCCTCAGGTCGTGAGCTGGCAAGCACAACCCTCCCAGGATACCCTCCTCATGTCCCTCCTGCTGGACAGGGCAGCTACTCCACTCCAGCGCTGACAGGAATGGTGCCTGGTGAGTCTTCAGAAGAGGGAGGGTAAGAAAAAATAAAAGGAAAGAAAATAGCATTTCAGGACGGAGGCTTTCTGTGGATGTTCTGTGCTGAGGCGAGCATGAAGCAGAAGCCATAATGCTGAAAGGGAAAGGGGGTGTGGAGTGTTCCTGAGTAAAGTAGGACCAGGCTCCCTAGCACAGGAGGTCATGCAGCCTGCAGAGTGCCAAAGTAAGGCATTGGCACTGGGATATTGAAGGAGCTTCCAGCCTCCCTTCTGTGGACCATGAAGATTGTTCCATGTTGGGCCATGCCAGGCTCTTCCCATCTGATTCAGGCTTTGCTCTAACCCACCTGTTTTCTCCCAACACACTGTGTCCCTCTCTGCTGCCTCAGAGGTGAGGTCACTTGCCCTGGGGGCTGGATGTGTCTCAGCATTCTTGTGTGCAACCTCGAGTCCTGGGGGCACTGAGTTGTTCCCAGGACACTGTATTTCTGTAATTTCCTTCCCCTTTTGGAACCTTACAGTGAGAAATGCAGGTGGCATGAGCCGGCTGGTGGCCACTGCTTGCCTGTATGGCATCAGGAGGTGGGGTTGTGCAGGTATCTGGGGTGGGCAGAGCAGGATCTGCAGGTTGGTCACATCGTTGGTGTCACCCAGCTGCAGATCTGTGCACAATCTAAAGTAGGATGGTGACATCCAGGGCTGGCAGCAAGCAATGATTGGGACACAGCAGTGGGAGTACTTGCTCTTTTGTCTTTTCTGGGGAGTTACCAGCTGTTTGGGAGCAGCTGCCAGGGTGGGATGGCGAAGCTGCAGGACGTGGGGCTTGGTGGTGCTCAGCCCGAGGAGTGTGCTTTGGTGATGTAGAGTCATCTGAGCTGATTTTCCCAGGTAATAGATTTTATTTTTAACTACATATAGGCTTCTGTGACCCATTATATTGAATAACTGCACTGTTCCTCTCACTGGTTCCTTTAATAACAACCTTCTGCTCCAGCTAGTGTGAAGGTCAGCTGCAATTCCTGTAGGTTCTCCATCTCATTTAAGTGAGAATTTGCTAACTAGCATTCAAAATGCCTTCTCAATTCTTCTTTGACTTCTGTCCTTTGCAGGATCACTCTCAGAGCCTTGCTAGAGAAAACACTGCAGTCCCCAAGGGGCTGATGGTAAGGCAGGTGACAGACCCGGTCTGGTGCCATTGGCACATCCCTACTTGTTCCGAAATGGCCAAATGCCATGACCGAGCATGGGCACATGCTTGTTGTGCCAGCTCTCAGGGATTCATCTCACGACTTGCGTCTGCCTTGTACTCATTTTTCGAGCCTCTGCTAGAAATCTCCTTCCTTGATAAGATTTTTAATCATAAGCCATGAATTTCTGCTCATAATTAAGCAATTGTGTGAGTTAAGTGCTTAGAGACATGGGAGAAACGTATACATCATAAGACATAGGCAGTGTTCTGTTGCATGCTTGTTGCTGCTGCCATTGCTTCTGCTGCTGTGAGTAAACCTGGCCCTCAGCACACTGCAGGTGTTCATCTCCCACTTTCTGGTGTCTATAGCTGCCTGTGGGGTAGGGGAGACCCTCTGGCTTCTGCTTCAGCTGGAGACAGCATTTGCAAGCTGTGTGGATTCAGCTTTGTGCTCTGTGCTTATCTCTTCACCAGCTGCCACACTGCTCATCCCAACAGGAGCAGTGTTGTCCCCTGCCAGACCCAGGTCCTTCCCTGTCTCTCATACAGGCAAGAATGCACATAGGAGCCTGTCTCTGCTGCATCTCCGTGCCTTGTTCAAACACGTGCTCTACGATTTCACATCTCCTTCCTCCCTTTCCTGCAAAACCAGGGAATATCAACATATTCCCATATCAACAGGGAATTTCCATTTCTATGTGGCTTGCGAATGTCTGCCATGGCAGACAATAAACTATTCAAATACTTTTCTCTAAAGGAATAAAAAAAAAAAAACACATGGCTTTGATTTCAGCCCAGAGCTTTAGGAACTGAGAGCTAGCATGGCTCAAGGCTCCCATGAATGCGTTCTCTCTGAAGGTCACTGGTCCTTCTCCCTTCTCCTGCCTTTTGATGGCTGTCACCCTTTAGAGTTAACTGGAAAGGAGCTCTCCCAGCACCCCGTAGTGCTCTGATGTCTCAGGGCACAAGTGAAATGCCACGGTGAGGACAGATGGGCAGATAGGTGGGTAAACTACTGGCTAGGCGGTCAAACTTGGAGATGTTGGCAAGTGTCACATTCCAGCTGGGTGCTGGTGCCAGGCATGGAACTGCAGTGCTTGGCCGGTGATATGTCTGGGTTAGCACCTTCATCTACAACCGGGAAAGAACACAGTTTGTCAGGTGTTCAGATGATGCCAAATGGTGTGATGCCACCAGTAGGCTCCGGAGCAGAGTGGTAACATGGAGGCACTGTATTTGTGCTTAATTAGATGCTGCTATTCTTGGTCTGTGTTTTGGCCCAGCCACCTTTGAGAGTCTGTTCTTTTCCTGCCAAATTATGTGAAAACAAGCACTGATAAATGAGAACTCCGTCCTTGAAGGAAGCATTTTGTATAAACTGAAATTAATTGGGGCCTCGCTATTGGCCAATGGCCCTCCAAGGGCATTTGAAGAAGAAAGTGAAGAGGAGTGTGATGAAGTAAGCCCCCAGGCTAATTTAGAAAAGACCCCCTGAGGCACAGCACGTAGGTGCAGGCAAATTCCAGTGTACACACGCATGCGTAAAAGGGGCACCACTGACATGAGGGGGGGAGGGACCAAAGGCCTCTGGCTGGGCGGTGCTGGCCACACCTGCCCAGGTAGATGTCATAGGTTAATTGTATAAAAAGTAGAGAGCTCTTGCTGGGAGCGGATTCAAACTTCCCAGGGAGGACAATGTTACCTCTGCAGGGCCGCCTGCCATCCTGTGAGCCTGCCAACACTCCAGGCATGCAGCCTGTGCTATGGGGAATTCTGCGGTCGGTAAGACAACCTCATAAATAATGCCTGAGTGAGTGAGGGGTTGTCCTGGGGGCTTGTTTCCCTTCTCTTTCCTGTCTCTTGGCTTCTTGTTTTGTTGGCTGCTTCTTTGTAATAAATATTGTTTTGTTGAACTTTCAGTGGTGTACTGGTTTCAGTTTCAGCAATCTCCCTGCTACAGTCACCAAGGCAGACTGGGGATGTGTGAAACTTAACAAGGGCAAACAAAAAATCTTGCACAGAGGAAAGCAGCACTTTGCAACAAAAAGGGCTGAGGACTGTTTGGCTGCTGAAAGGACTCCAGGCACGCAGCAGACTGGAAGCTGAGCATTGGTTTGCCGTGTGCACTGGCGGTGCTCACGGCAACAGCATTCTGGGCAGGAGCTGGAGGGAAGGAATTATCCCCCTCATTTGGAATTTGTAGACTCACAATGAGAACAGTTCTGTTTTGGGCCCCCCAGCACAAAAAAACAATGGACCCAAGTCAGAACAAGCAATATGCAAACTGGGTATGAGAAAAATCTCCAAACTTTTCCCCCAAGAGGTCTCTCAGAGGGGCTGTGCAGTCTCCATCCTTGAGGGTTTCAAGGCCAGCCTGGGTGAAGCCGTGAGCCTTCTGGCCTGGTCTTACTGCTGATCCTGCTGTAAGAAGGGTCTTGAGACTACCTGAAGACTTTTCCATCCTGAAAAGCCCTGTTATCCCATTACTCAAAGTTTTGATTAAGGCACTACTGGAAATGTGCTGCAGAAATTTGTATGCTTCTGCCTGATGCTGTGAGCACAGTTGTAGTCAATAAGCTGTTAACAGGGAAAGAACAGGTCCCTCTCTGGAAAAGAAGTGATGCCAACAGTCCATGCAGATGAGACAGCTCTGCTCTAGACCCCAGTCACCATTAAAAGACAGAGCCATGAATCTCCCTTTGAGGCCAGAGGGAGCCCTGTGGACAGCTTCCCTGTCACAAGGAAGGTCCTAATGTCTACACAAGGGACCAGGAGAAATCACATTCTGTGTTCCTCCCCCAATCCATGACTATGGTCTCACCCTTCAGCAGCCTCCAGTGTTGCCTGCTTCCAGCCCTTGGCTTGGTATCCTATCTAATTTGTGTGGCATCATTCATGGGAAACCACAGGGTCCCAGGAACAACCACCAACCTCACCTGGGGCAGGGGACACAGCAGTGCCTGCAGCAGCTTGCACAGAGTGAACACTTCTTTTTAGCCCTCATTGTCTGGTGTCTGATGCCTTGAAGAATGAGAGTTTATATTCCTTGTAAATGTTCATTTTGTCTAGTGCATCTCTCTGTATATTCTCATCTGATTAGAGCTTTAATTGACTGTTGATTCCTTCTAGATTTGTGCCCACCTCAGGGCACAGGATCCCACAGGTTAATGAGATGCTCTATGCAGAAATTATCCCCAGTAATTTGGTACTGTTGTTACTATTTGTTCACACCATGACTGTGCCCGTAATGTGCTGTCACTTTGGAAATATGGAGCAGTGTTTTCCCAGCAGCCTTTACTTTGTCTCTGGAGAAGAGCAGGCAGGAGCAAACTCTTCTCCATCCCATCCTGTACTTGCAGCCTGGAACCTGGTACCATCCGGCTGTGCTTGATCTGTTCCAAAGAGGCAGTCCCAGGGCTGTTTGCTTCTTCAGATGGAGACAGTGCTCTCTTCTGCTTGCAGCTGTTGCTCCCTCTGTTCTCTTGACTGCCTCACATATGGGTTTGGGAGCAGAGCATCAGCTGGCTGGGAGCACACAGTGGGAAATGCAAGATTTGCAGGAATTTTACTCCCTGGCCCATGTGAGTGACTCAGAGCCCTTTCCTGGGGTGAAGTGTTTGAAAAGAGGGGCAGCTGCTGGAGTGGCCGTTGGCTGGTCACGGAGAGCACACTTTTACCATATTTCTCTCACCTCTGGGAGGCTGGACCTTCTCTCCAGCTCTGCTCCTCCTCGACATGGGCTCTGCGGCTGGCATGAGGACAGGGACCAGTGCTGCTTGCCTGGCATCTTTTCTTGGTCCTCTGTTGCTTCACACACAATCAGCCTG